AGAAAATAATTATATTATAAGAAAATAAAAATGCTAAAATAAACATTTAACCCTAAAATCCTAAAGCCTAAAATTCTAAATATAAAAACTTTTTTTTTATTTATTAAACTATTTAAAAATTTAAATTTTAAAATCTTAAATATGTCAATTGCAAACCAAAATTACCAAAATAATTAAGAGATTTGTAAACTATTATCACCTTAAGATAATGTAGTTATAAGATAATAAAGTCTCACTAAGCTAAAAAAAAAAAAAGTAGAAGACAATGTTTAGTAAAATTATCAATTTATTTATTTATAAGAAAACTAGATTTTTTCCTACATACACTAAAATGTTTTTTTTGAAGAAGCTTCTTCTCGATACAAATTTTTTTATAATGCAACAATTGAAAGATAAGACAAAAGGATAAAAACAAATTAGTAAATTTTTTTAGAGGCATAAATTCATATGATTTTGGATTTATCTCTTTCTAGCATTGAAACTCACAAACTCTTAAAAATAAAGTCAGTTGAATGTTAATATAGTACAATCAAATGATTACTAGCAATGAAGTTTTCTTTGTGAGAATATCAACACTTTGATTCCTTTCCCTCAAAGTGTACACAAACTTCACCTTCTAGTCCTATTTAACAAAATCTTCAATGAATTCAATAAATGTAGAATACGCATGATAGAAACGAAGTATCAAATAGTTTTCAATTTTTTTTTTAAATTTGCAGATTTGATCTATACATTAAGAACTTTAAATTCAATGGTTGGATCATTGAAATTTGATGTAGAACATGAGTTATTAAACGAAGTAAATCTAGGTAGACTTACTCTTAGAATAAACAGATCTATCCTTATATATATGTGTGTGTGTGTGTGTGTGAGAGAGAGAGAGAGAGAGAGTAAATACTCAATTTAGTTTTTGAAAGATAGTAAAAATGATCAATAAGCCTCTAAAAGATTTTTTGTAACATTTGAGTCCCTAAATTTTAAATTTATTATGTAAGTTAATCATTTCAGTATACTCGATTACCAGCTCTGTTTGCCTCATGATTGACAGTGATGTCGAGTTACTATAAAAAACTATTGGATTTTCTTCAAAGATTTTCGATATAAGGAACAACCTAAGTCATTCTTCATGAAGATACAAGCACATTTAATTTGTATTTTATCACACAAAATTAGTAAGGGGATTTAACATTTCAAAACAATATTTAATCAATAAAACAGAGAATCAAGAATAAAAAATTCAATCAAATAAGTATTGATTCAAGATTTCAATTCATACGGTCAAGTTTTCATAGTTTAACAACAAATCTGAATTCTCAATCAACCTAATTCAATAAAAATTTAATCAAAATCGTAGATTTAAATCTAAATCTATGAATTCCATCAAAACATGAAACACAATCGTAATCTCACAATTTCCTTTAAATCCAAGAATGGTAAACAATTGATTTAAGCGATTTAGATTATTTTAGGTATAAATATAAATATAAATTTAGATATAAGATTAATCTTCAATCTATGTTCTAAAGTCAAAACGAAATTCACAATCATAAACAATGAAGTTAAACCTAAAATAAAGAAGAAGAGAAACAAAGAATTCGTTCAGCAAAAAGATTGGGAACTCAAATTTTTTCATAGTTCTTGAAACTTGGAATTGATTAACAAACTAGTCACATATCATAATCATGTTGCAACAATCCAATTCATGTAAGCAAGAGAGAAAATCAGAGAGAGAGAGAGAGAGAGTTTTGAGAGAAGAAACCTAATTTCTGAAAAATGAGGTATATGGTGTTAAGTGTACATGTGTTACACTTATTTATAAACTACACTAATGGGTCAAATCAAAGTAATTAAAGGCCCATCCCACCAAATCAACTAATTACCTCATTAAAAAGTCCTAACATTACGTTCTAAAAATAATAAAAAAAATATTGTGTAGGGCCACAACTTTGCAACACATTTTTAGGTCATTTAACATCCAAATTGGCCTTTTCTCCCAATAGAGAAGTTGTAGAAATCTCTCTTATCTTTTCAAGAACACCAAAAATGTCCAAATCCGATGTTGAGAGCTTTAGATATGGCCTGCACAATAAATAATGTCAAAATAATAAAATATTTTAAAAATTAACTAAAATTTACAACTAAGACCAAAATGACTCACTAGAACTAATCAAAGCTAATATATCACAATATAATACTAATACAAGTCAAATAAACAAAAAATAACGCATAGAAAGTGATGTGAATCCAGCAGGGTAAAATTGAAGATTAACAAGCCCAAAGTCATATGATAAAGAAGAAGGATTAATGGGCTGGAATTTAAGTAGTTTGGGGCTGAATAATTAAATAAGTCAATTATCTTATTTTTTAATGTAATTTTCGTTTTATTTTATTTTATTAAATAAATCTGATGAGCTTCCTTGCCTTTTAGGTTGCTAAGGGGAAATAAATGTTAGTGGAAATTTATTGCTTAGTTAGTGGGCTAGTGAGGAGTCAATTCTAGTGGATATTAAGTGTTAGTGGGAATTTATGTCATCTTGCCCATCTAAGCTTATAAATAGAAACCTTTTGTAAAATTTTAGAAGAAGAAAAAATGAATTATTCAAAATTTGGATATTTTTCCAATTGAGAGGATTTTCTCTCTCTAGGTTCTTAGGAACTACTTTTGATTCTTATCCTTGAATTTTCTAATTCAAAGTGGCGAATCTTCCTCAACTTATCAATCTTTAGGGATTGTGGCGTTGTTCTTTCATTTCTTACCTCAATCCATATTTTTTATTTTAATTTCTTAATTATGAGCTTTCCAACCTAGATAGATCCGTAAAACAAATCCATCCCTCTGGGTTCATATCAGAAAGATATACAAAAATTTGTCTATAAATGATCAATCAATAGTTAATTGTCATGTTGGCACATATTCTCTCCCAATTGGCATGCAATAGTTACAAATTAAATAGATTTAAACACATGTCTAAATAAGGTTTGATTTTGAATTTAATTTAAAAATAAATGAATTGACATTTGAATGACTTATTTTTTCTTACTCCTTCCCATTTAGTAAGCAATGGAAGAATATGGATAGTAAAACACTAGTTTGTCAATGTGCAAAATCAACTACTATGTTTGAGTTTGAAATACATATGTAGAAGGTTAGAGAAAAAAGTGAGGTTGGTTATCTATATCTTAAGAAATGTGGGTTTGATTCATGGTCAAAGACTTTCTTCAAAGAGGATTGTAAGGTTGATAGCATAATGAATAACAATTGTGAGGTTTTTAATGCTAAGATTGTCAAGTACAAGGGATAACCTATTTTAACCTATTTGGAGGGAGTTAGATGCTA